GAGGCGGGCACTAGCAGCACTACCTGGAAGGCTGTTTTCTTTCATTCTCATTTTTATTTTTGAGTGTATGTTTGTCATGCATATATGATTGCACTTGTTGTGAGGAGTTAGTATATGTAAATAACACATCTTAATTTTTTCCATCAGCTTTCCCTTGTCCTCCTCCCATCCTTACTAATCTGCAGGTGTTTCTTTCTCCACACAAGTTGACATATCATAATTAATGGTCACAGCACTGATAATTTTCAGAAGTGTTAAGGACACTGGAAACCAATTCATTTGAGAACAGTTCACCCAAGGGAACTGAGTTTGCTGGGAAACACATGATCTTGGAAATACAGTACTTCTATCACAGGTGGCATTACATTCCTTCCTAATTTTAAATAAAATGCATTTTTATTGAAATGAAATAGGCTTTGGATAAATGTTTGTTGTCATTATTCAAAGCTAATAACAGCTAACACATAATATTGGCCATTGCACTCTCTGTGCAAGACACAGAGGATACAGCAGCAGCAGGCTCAGCCCCCACTGTGCAGAACTTAGTCCGACAGAGAAGGCAGACGACAGGTGAGAATTAGTAAGCAAGGGTACAAGAGGCACCGCTCACCAAAGCAATGGAGGGTGAGAAGCTCCTCCCTGGTGGAGCACTGCTAGACAACTAGCTTTGCAGAGAATTTTGCAGAGTGGAGAGTGGTTTTGAGATATATTTGGTGAAGTTTTGGGGCATAAGTTGGTAATTAATTAGATATAGCTACAAAGAAAAAGAGGAAGGATTAAAGGATAAGTCAGCTTTGTGGCTTGAGTACAATCGTCAATTTCATTAATCATCAATTCCACTCAATCATCAATTCAGTATTATTTCTTGGGAGCCTACTTTTCTGAGTAAGATATTGAGGAAATGATGCTAAAGGAATAAAGACATTTTTAGTGGCATTGGCTGCGGAGGTGAGGGATCAAACAACTGATCAGTCAGTGGATGAATTGTTAAATGATGACTGACATGGTAAGCATTTAAATAGGCTAATGTGATAGAAAGAGGCAGAAGGACTACCTTGGATTCGGTTAGGGAGGCATGTCTGAGGAGATGACATTGAAACTGAATTTTAAACAATGAAATGATGCCAACCACACAAAATAGGAGAAAGAGCATTGCTGAAAGAGGAACTAAATTAGTAAAATTTTCTGAGACAGAAATGAGTTTGATAGGCTTGGGAGATAGCTTGGCAGTCTAAGCACCTGCCTGGCAAGTGCAGAGACCAGGGTTTGATCTGAGGCATCATATGCCACACTGGCCCCACCCCCGGGAGTGCTAAGCCTGCCACTAAAACTGGGTGTGGTGGAGCATGGCTGTAATCCCAGCACTAGGGAGGCTGAGACAGAAAGATCACTAAGAGTCTGAGTTGCATATCGAGACCCTTCACCAAATAAATAGATTAAAAAGGAAAAAAAATGAGTTTGGTGAGATGAGAAATGGATACAGTTATAAGATTTGGTAAATAAAAATACAATGCACTCAATTATGTTTAAATTTCAGGGAAACAACAGTTATTTATTAGAATTTCTTGTGCATTATGTGGGCCCTACTATGCTAAGAAAAAACTGTATTGCTTATCTAAAATTTAAATTTGACTAGGCATATGTAGAAAATTCAAAACATTCAGCCAAAACTCTTAGAACTAATAAGCTTTTATATCAATATTGCAAGATATAGGTTAATAGATAAGCTAGTTGTTCTCTTAAATACTAGCAATGAGTAATTGGAATTTGAAATGTAAAATACAGTGGTACATACTAGTACCAAAAAACCCAAATCCTTCAATATAGATAAATATAACAAAATATATATAAATCTATGTGAGGAAAATCTATGAAATATATCGAAAAAGATCTAGACATATATATTCCATGGTCTTAGTAAGTCAATATTGCTAACTATTTCTTCACAATATGTTCTATTGATTCAATACAATCCCAACCAAAATCCTAGCATATTATTTTATGAAGATTAGTAAGCTAATTCTACAGTTTATATGGAGAAGAACAAGACCAAGAATAACAATCATAATATAAAGGAAGATAATGGAATTGAACAGCTGACACTTCCTAACTTTAAGGCTATAAAGCTACAGTAATCAAGACTGCTTTGGCAAAAGACTAGACAAATAGATCTGGAGAAAAGCAGAGCAGAAAAGACAAGACAAGACAAGAGAAGAGAGCAGTGCAGAGCAGGACAGGAGGATACACAAATAGATCCACATATATACATCAGCTCATTTTGGACATAGAAGTAAAGGCAATCAAGATAGAGTATCATCACAAAAACATTCACATAGAACAAAAACAAGCAAACAAGAATCTAGACACACTCCTTACACATTTCAACTCCAAACAGATTATTAACCTAAATATAAGACACAGAAGTATAAAACTTCTGTAAGATAACTTAGGAGAAAGTCTAAGTGACCTTGCATTTAGAGATTAAAGTCAAAACCCTCTGCCTTGCAAAGGATACTGTTAAAAGCTTGAAAAGAGGAGCCACAAACTTGGAGAAAATGTTTGCAAAACACATATCTGATAAGGAACTTAAATCAAAAATATCAAAAATCTCTTAAAACTCAACAATAAAATAAATTAAAATGTGGATAAATGTTCTAAGCAGATACTCATCAAAATGAGTATTCAGAGGCAAGAAGATGAAAAGTTGCTCAGTACATGGCCATCAGAGGACTGTAAATTAAAACAAACTATACTGCTAGGCTGGATAAAATCCCAAACACTAACCCCAAGGCTTTCAAAAGTGAGGGATAAGAGGAAAACTCATTTATTTCTGATGGGAATACAAAATGACATGCTGCTTTGGAGACCTTTTACAGTCTCTTACAAAAGTGAACAAGGTTTGAGCTTACTGTCTAGGTATCACGCACATGCTGCCTACCCAAGTAAGTTGGAACTCACACCCACACAGAACTGCTAATGAACGTTCGTTGCTGCTGTATTCACGCAAGCCAATAATGGAAGTTAAATATGTCAACAAACTGTAAAATATTTTTTACTGACTAGAAGAACTAAGCTACCAAGCAGGTAACAAAAAGACATAGAGAAGTCTAAGTGGGCTTTGGTAAGTATAATAAACCTATCTAGACAGGCTACATGCGGTGGTTTCAACTAATTGATATTCTCTACAATGCTAAATGATAGATACAGTAAAATTATCAGGACTGACAAAGTGATACAGAAAGTGAGTGGGGTTAGTATTGTTTCTTTTTCTTTTCTTTTCTTTCTTTCTTTTTTCTTTTTTTAGTTTAGCACAAGGTCTACAGGGTCTCACTATGCAAATCAGACTTGTAGTGATCCTCCTGGTTTCAGCCTCCCAAGCGTTGGGATTACAGGTGCATGTCACCACACCCAGTCTCAATTGCCATCTCAGAGAGCCCTGGGGGTGGGGATTGAACCCCAGTTCCTTTGTCTACCTAAGCAGGCACTTTAATATGCTGAGCTATCTGACTGGCCTAGTATTGGTTCTTGGATTATAACATATGTACTACAGTACCACACAAATGTAAAATATTAATAATAGGGGAAATTACAAAACTCTATTTTCTGCTCAATTTTTCTGTAAACCACAACTATCTTAAGAATTAAATTCAAATAATTTTTGAACATTCTATTTTAATCTTTAACATGTTCACATTAGTTGGGTTCAGCATGATATCTGAGCACATGAGCTAATCAAATACAGCCTCCCTAAATACATCCCCCCTTCCCAACTTCCCCAGTCACTATTCTACATGGTTTGACTTTCTGTTTCCCCATAGGGGACAGAACATATGGTACCTGTCCTTCATGATTGCTTATTTTATTTAACTTGGTGTCCTCCAATACTATCCAGTTTGCTACAAATGACAAGATTTCACAAGTGCTGGCAATGGAGTGGAAAGAAAGGAACTCTTGTAGCTGTCTGTGGGAATGTAAATTAGTATAACCATTATGGAAAACAGTATGGAGTTTCCTCAAGAAACTAAAAATAGATCCACCATATGATCCAGAAATCCCACTTTTGGGTATTTATATCCAAAGGAAATGAAATTGTACCGAAGACTGACTTCCAGGCCAGGGTTTATCACAGTACCGTTCCCACTGGCAAAGATACGGATTCAACCTTGGAGTCTATCAGTAGATGAATAGGTAAGGAAAATGTCGGGTGTATATATGCAATGGAATATCATTCAGCAACAGGTTCTATTTTGTAAAACTTTTAACTGGACATGCTGTATGTTCTCTGAAAACTCTAGGAACAGGGAGAAGGCCACAGGTGTGACTGTGTGCGAGGAGTAAATGGAGGGTGGGTCGGTACCAACTTAAAGAGATGGAGAGGGTAAGATTATGGAGAACTCTGTAAGCTACAGAAGGGAGTTTTGAATTCATTCTGTGGATCGTGGAATGGTTCTGGAAAGATCAGTATCTTTTTTGGATCTCTCCAGTTCTTGCATGGAAATGTGACAGTGGTAGCCAAAAGAAATTCACAAGGTCATCCTCAGCCCAGGCTAGAGCTTAACAGTGGCATGGTTGGAGGCCAAGAGCTGGACAGCAATGGTATTATCTCCAGGGTGGGAATAGAAACAACAGTTTTGTTGGAACTGAGCGTGGAGAGAGAGCAAAAGAGAAAAATCAAATATAGCACTCAGAGCTTTATGTAAGCAGTGGGGTGTCTGCTAGTACCACTTACTCGTATAGCAAAGCCTAAGAATAAATAGTGAAGGTCTTTCTATCCTTAAGTATGAGACATCTAACATTGCAGCGGAGATGTCGGTTGGGCTGAGCTAGGAAGTGATGTCACTAACGTTGTAAACAGTGGCAACAGAACAGTTTGCATTAGGAGAGGTAATCAATTGGACTTTCAACATGTTGAATTGGAGATGTTTGTGAAAGACCTGAATGGCTATGTTGAGAAGGCAGTTGGATGTTTTGATTTGAAATCAAAAAGGGAAAGTCTGGCCTTGAGATTGTATTTGGAAGATATGGAATACTGAGTTGGAGCCCTGGGGTGAGTGCCGCAATATCTTTTTGCAACACCAAGAAGGCACGCAGTGGAGTAAACAGTCTCTCTCAAGGCTGTTTCTCAGGCCACCCTACAAACCAGGCCTTCTCTCCCATGGATCCCCCAGTTCTAAAGAGATTCCACTGGGTGTTTGCATCTTATTCGGGTGAGTAGTTCTTATGTTTCCTCTAGTTTATTTCTTCCTCTCAACTCTCTACCCCAACCTTAAAGCCCTTTGGTAAGGTAAGAGGCTGTGAAGCAACTTGTTTCACACAGCTGATGTCTGTTCATGCCAGATCATGGGTGAAAAGAGATTAAAAGTTGCTGTATTTCTAGCAGCTGTCCTTCCTGAGCAAATGTTGGTCTGTGTCTCATGGTCCAAGTAGGATGGAGTAGTGGAGGAATAGAACAAGCTGCCTACATCCAAAAATATACTCTCACTGCATGTGTTTGTTCCCTGTTGTGGGCCTCTTTGCTGTCCTGCCCATGTAGTTACTTCCATCTGTTTAAATAGCAACTTGGTTATTGGTGCTCTGATGGATTTTCACTTTGTGAACCTGCCCATCATTTTTGTATTTTCTTTCTTTCTTTTTTATTCTTTCTTTTTTCTTTTTTTTTCTTTCCTTCTTTCTTTTCTTTTTCTTTTTTTTTGTATTTTAGGACAGGGTTTACATGGTCTCACTATGTAGATCAGACTTGTATTGATCCTGCTGTTTACAGCCTCCCAAGTGCTGGGATTACAGGCATGCGCCACCAAGCCCAGTCTCAGTCACAGTGTCCGGGCGCCCCTCGGGGTGGGGCTGGCATGGCAGGCCCAGGATGGAACTCCTGGCCCCTGCATCTGCCTAAGCAGGCACTTTAATCTGCTCAGTTATTTGGCCAGCCCATTTTTGCTATTTTCTCATTTAGTTTCTGGGAGGCAATTTCTAAGCTAAAGATTCTCCAAAAGAAGAATAATTGGTAGAGAGGAAAAACCTGGTTCTGTATGATCAAACATGTTTTCATGTAAATTTTCACCTGGACACTTATCTAGGGTTTATGAAGATCTATTTGTTTTTTAATCTCTTTCATCACTAGTGGTCTTTTATTTTTATCAAATTTTAAATTATCTTAAATTATATTACAATGAGAATATATTAAAGTAAAAATTATCCAACAAATATAAGCTGTATACAGTATATCTTCCAGAATACTGGAAGTAAAAATATACTATAGAAAATATAGAGAATTGTGTTATTGTATCTCTTTAAACCAGCATCTTCAATGTTTCTCCACCCCACCCCACCCCCGTATTTTAGTACAGGGTCTACAGAGTCTCACTAAATAGATCATACTCATAGTGCTCCTCCTGTTTTCAGCCTCCCAAACACTAGGATTGTAAGTGTGCTACCATGTCCAGTCTCAATGAGCCCATCTCAGCATGTCCCAGGGCTGAGGTTGGCACTGCAAACTGGGGATGGAGCCCAGGCCGCTACGCTCTGCCTAAGCAGGTGCTTTAGTCCACTGAGCTATCTGGCCGGCCTCAAGCTTTTGGTCTCATAATGCCTTTATTCTCTTAAAAATTATCAATGATCCTTAGAAATTTTTTGCTGTTATTACTATGAGAGGGAGCTAGCTGCCAATCTGATAGATGATAAATACACAAGATATGCATATTAGGTACAGATATATCATTTTAAAATCTGAGAAAATTATGAAGTACAAGAATGTAGAAGCACACATCACTTTAGCTGTTAAAACAGTGGCATCATGGGAAATCCTCTGTGCGCTATGAAAGAACGAGAGCAAAAACACCAGGTAATAATGTATTATTTTAATTTTTATTTATCTATTTATTTTGTGTTATACCAGGGATTGAACTCAGGACCCTGCGCTTGCCAGGCAAGTGCTTATTCTACTGAGCTGTCTCCCCAGCCCCTGTGTAAGTATTATTAATAAGAGTTTTTATTTCGCAGACCTCCAGGCAGGCAAGAGATTTTTTTTTCTTTTTTTTCTTTTTTTTTTTTTTTTGGTGTTTAGGGGGATACTGAGGATCGAACTCAGGACCTTGCATTTGCCAGGCAGGCACTTAAATCTCTGAGCTACCTCCCCAGCTCGCAGACCTCCTAGAAGAGTCTCACAGATCCTTTGCGGTGACCAAGAAAAATGGAAGTAGTACTGGAAATAGTACTTTCTGATTTCAGTTTTTACATCTGTATAATACAGCATTGATCTAGATAATCTTGGAGGGTTCTTTAGTGTATTTAGTACAGGGTCTACAAGGCCTCACTACGCAGATCAGACTCGTAGTGATCCTACTGTGGTCAGACTCCCAAGCGCAGCGATTGCAGGCGCGCGCCAGCACTGCCTAGTGTCAATCGCCATCTCAGCGCACCCCGCGGGCTGGGCTGGCACGGCATGCCGGGGATGGAACCCTGGCCGCTGCACTCTGCCGAAGCAGGCACTTTAGTCCACTGAGCTATCAGGCCAGCCCAACATTTGTCCTTTCATAACCTTTTCTTTATTGATTCATTGATTATGGGACTGGGGATCCAATTCAAGGCCTTTGAGCTGAGCTCCATCCCCAGCCATATTTGTGGTTTTTATTTTGAGAAAGGATCTTAGTAGGTTACTAAATTGCCCTGGTCAGACCTGAATTTGTAACCCTCCTGCCTCAGTCTCCCACACTACATGCCACCAGGCCTACCTACGGTTGTGTATTTTATGGAGTGGAGCTCCACATAGATTTAATTCTTAGAAAGGCATACTCCAAGTACAAACAGCTAATGAAAATAATAGATTAATTAATACTCAGTCCATTAGTCACTAGAAAAATGCAGATCAGAACAATAATGTGATATTAATCACACTATATGGAATTAACCTCTAGAATGATTATAATTTCAAAGAAAGATAACAAATAAGGCTGTGGAGAAAATGGAAACCACATGCTTTGCTTCTGAGCTTGTAAAATGATAATACTGCAGAAAGTAGATTAGCATTTACTCAAAAAGTTAGCCTTATTACGTGTTTTAGCAGTTCCACTATTAGATACGATGCCCAAGAAAACTAAAGATAAATGTTCCCACAAAAACTTTCACCCAAGTTTCATTGTCGCATTAATTCTAAATAGCCCAAAAGTTCAAACAGCCTATTTCCACTAACTGATGAATAAATAAACAGAATATGGCATATTCACACAACGAAATCTTTATCAGTCCTGTAAAGGAATGAGCATTGATTTGTGCTATAACGGGATGAAACCTGAAAATGCTATACTAATTCCCCAAATCCAGGCCCACATACCATATGGTTCCATTCATACCAAACGTCTAGAATAGTTGAATCCACATAGATACAAAGTAGATGCGTGAATAGTTGAATCCACATAGATACAAAGTAGATG